ACTATATCAATCTTTTTCTATTGCATTATCCTAGAATTTCAGCCATGTTGTCCATGATCCAAGCCACTTCTATCGGTTGGTAGTAGCTGTTGAATAAAAGAATTAATAACTCATATTTGGCACGATTAAATGCTGCCAAGTGTCCATGTCTTGGTAGTTCTCTTTTCATGGGCATGAACTCTCTTTCTTCTGGATATATATATATATATATATATATATATATATATATATATATAATCTCAAATATACCTGTATGTGCACGTCTTTTCTTAGAATAACTCCAAAGCTATTGATAGTAAAGGCTCTTCTTGCGGTTAAGATTTCCACTTGGCACACTCTCATAGCGCCAAGTGTCCTATGAACTTTGTAATCTCCTTCCCATCTTGTATGCATGAGTTTATGTTTGAATAAGACTTATATACATATATACGATTATATATATATATAAGTCTCCATTCTTTATATCACAACTCCCATGATTTAATTTAACAGTTTGCTATTACTTAGCATAACTCTTAAATTCAATGTACCTGGACCCTTTCCTTTCCTACCATAACTGTTATATCATGTGTGGAGCATTCCTATAAAGTATGAGATTTTTAGGAATGATTAGTTACCTTTTAATGACTTGGTCAACTCTTTTCCAAACTTAGATTAAGTATAATCCAAGAGATTTTCTACGTGGCAATTATATGCCATTGGTATACTTGTAATGAATCCTTTCCCACCCAACTTCCTTATTTTAATCTCCTAATGCCACATGGCATCGTTCGAGTGGTACCCTACTCCAAGATTTCCAATTGTTATGTAGAACCACTTGTAGCCTAACGAATCCTCATTCCAATCTTCGAAAAGCCAATATGGCAAACTTTTGATTGTACATGTGTATTAAATGTGGCAAAATCTAAGTGATTTATGACTTGATTAATCAGGTGAGGTTACATGTATGATAGCACCATGACCCCCTTTTGTTTTAGTTGTGATTATGATCTAGTGTGGTAAGTTCTTTTGAAACTCGCCGCATGTCGTCTTTCCATTTGTCCAAAATAATGGTGTTAACAGTACCCAATGAATGATATATGATAAATGAAATCATATTTATAGGGAAAGATTATTGATAATCTCTTATGAATAAATATTGCATGATTTGCTAAGCTTTATTGATTTATTTTGTATATTATCAAGCATGCTATAAAATGACTTTTTTTAGTCATTATATTTATTATATATATGAGTTTTCATTATTTTGATGATATTTCCCTCCTTTTTAAGGGTAACAAATGGGGAGAAATATATTAGGATTGAAGTATTCTTGAGTACCTAGATTCGCCTTTGAGAGACTTTTTGCCTTTTGGCTTGTTCTAATTTATACTTTATGTTTGTTCCATGTTCTATAATGTATACTTTTGTATATGCCATGAACCTTAATGATGTATTGAACTCATGTTATCAATTAAATTGGCATCTTATAATATAATTGCTTCTATATTTTATTCCAAAGCACCATGATCAAAGCTACTATATTGCCATTTCTTGATTATCATTGATTCGCTATACTAAATGAACTATGATAAAAGTATATAGACATAAGCTGTTTAGATCTCCCACCTTTTTTAGATGACAAATGGGGAGAAAAATGATGTGTGATATGCTTGGTAAAGTCATCATAAAACTATCAATGTTTCATATTATATATCATTGTCTTATTGTGCTTATATTTACATGTCAAATGAATGATATATATCTATTGATGGAAGTATGTTGATATAGGGAAATTTTTAGAAATGGAACTATCAATGATTTATGTTATATATCATTATCTTATTGTGATTATATTTACATATCAAATTAATGATATATATCTATTGATGGAAGTATGTTGATAGGGGGAGATTTTTAGAAATCTCTTAAATAGTAAAACGATTTTAAATGCATGTAAATGTCTAAAATGATTGAAAAAAGGACAAACATGATATTTTATGATATTATGTTCAATATATACACTTTGATAGAGAGAACATTTTTTTTAAAATGCTACTTCACTTACTCATGAACACATCAATGTTTTGTCATCATCAAAAAGGGGGAGATTGTTGATATTAAGGATTTCATTCAAGAATAACCTAGTGATTTTGATGATTACAATTCATTAATGGTGTTAAATGACTAACGTTTACATTTAGTGTTCTAGATGATTCATTCCAAGTTTTACATTATTCAAGTTCACATCAGTGGTAAGCAATGGATACAAAGAGACTTGAAGTTGCAAAGAGTTACATACAAGTCCAATCAAATATAGCTTAGACTACAATGAACAACCAAACAACTCAAAGGAATAAAGCAAGAATACCTCAAAGCCTAAACGATTATGGCTGAAGCTTGAAGAAAGGGGTAGATAGGATGGTGGGTGTTAGGAATCAATGTTAAAGTATTTATGAATCCATTTGAAACTCATCTCTATAGGACCATACATATCATTATATCATTCATGAGTTTATATAACCATTAATAATTGACTATGAACTTCATAACATATAAAATTGAAATAAGAAGTCTTTGTTAAGAATGAGTTAGTTCAAGCATTCATAAGTTTTGAAAAAACTTAACACTTGAGCTAGAAATACTAGGGCTATATACCTTAATCACATGATTTAAATTGGTCTAAAAAAATTAGAGTATAAATGTTTTAAACTTAATTATTCATTTCTAAGGCCTTTGTCACCTTGACTCTAGGACCTAATGTATTTGATAAACATCATTCTTAATGGTCCCTATACTCTTAGATATAGGTAATATACTTCAATTATAATCATTGATTAACCTAATGACTTCCTAAGCCAGAGATGCCTTTAAATGTGTGTAAAAACACTTCAAGGCCATATGATCAGCCTCGCAAAGGCTTATGAGGCACGAGAGCTTTTAGGTAAAGAGTGGATTCATATAAGCAGCCTGGTATGCCATATGAGGCACCTGGTATGCTATATGAAGTGCATCCTTCAGTTATGAGGCGCCTGGTATAGATGTAATTTTGAATCCAACGGCTCTTTAAACATTAAATGCATTCCTAGCTACCTTGAAACAACTATTCATCATATTTCAGCCTATATATGCATGGAACATTGATGAACATAATACACAACTTTGAGAGAATGTTTTAAGAGCACTAAAGAGAGCAATAGAAAGACCTTCTAGAGCATCAAAGTGCTTTTGTTATTTATGTTCTCATTACCTCTCATTCATATCATTTATAGAGTATTAAGTTTCATTTGTATTCATTTATACAAATTAGAGTATTTGCATTCATTTATACTCTAATTGTGAGTTTTGAATTGCGTACCAATCTTGAGAGATATTATTGTGCAACAAACAATTGTATACAATCTATTGTAAGGGTTGATGTGACCCAAGGATTGGTGTGATCCAAAGGAACTCTAAGAGAATTCTCTTAGCAAAGAGAATTAAGGTCTTGCTTCTTGTAAATGTTTGCTCTCCCCTTGTAAGGAGAAGTCATAGTGGATTTGGAAAAGTCTCAAGAGGGATCTTGAACCGAGGAGTAGGAGTTTCCGAATCGCGCAAAAATTGATGTGTTATAGTTTGCAATTTCTTTTCCCTATCTCTCTTACAATTATGTTATAAATTGTTTACTTGTTTAATTTGATTATTACATAATTGTGATAAGTAGTTTACTTGAAATTGGTTTCCTTAAAATAAAAAAATTAGCCATTGACTTCATTCATCCCCTTCTAGAGTCAATTATTAGGTAACAATAGGAACTCAAAAAATATAAATGTTGTACTTGGGAACACTGAATCAGTACTTTAAATTTAGAATAAGTGAAAATTTAGTTTAAAATTTTAATTAAATTTCTTTCGATTTTAAATCCAACATGCCAATTTGCTAGTCCACACATAACAAGAAAATATGTTGAGAAATATAAAAACGAAAATTGTCTTTAAAATACACACATTTATTAAATTGAGTGTTCACAAAACTGCAACCAAACTTTTTACGCAAAACTAAATCAAACTGACCTTATTAGTAGGGATTCAGATCCCTTTATGTGGTGAAAATCATTAAAACGTTGACGTTTGGATGCATAGTTGGCAGTCATTTAAAACTAATTAAGTCAGTATTTTCCTATTCCTTTAAATAGTCTGTTTTGTTTTTGGAATATTAATCAGTCTTTAAAATATATCAGCGTGATAAAAACTAATTGAAAAAAATTAAAAAAATTTCAACAGAGAGAACAAAGTGTGATTATATATATATATATATATATATATATATATATATATATATATATGTATTTATATATATGTTTTTATTTACGAGTGTATTTGCGTTGGTTGATATATCGACTCTGGTTCAAATTAGATATATACATATATATATATATATATGTTTTTAAGTTAAGTCACATTATCTTTCTCAAAAGATATCGTTTTCACGTTCTAAACATGCTCCAGCTCTCACACTCTATGTGCGCTATCGCGCAAATTCTCACTGCTTAAGACTTAATTTTGTCATTTTCACGCTTCTGCTTTTAAATTCTCTCGCTCTCGCTCTCGTTCTCGCTCCTACTTTATGTGACTTTGATTTTAAGCGCAAAACATGTGTAAATGTCTATAAATATGATGATAAGTGGAGTGGGGGTGCTACTTTTATGATGGACCCCAACAACTCCTATACAATCACTACGTGTGTCATCTCTCAATTACTTGGCTCCCAAAAGCTACCCCATTGGCAGGCAATCATCAATCACATAGTTCCACGTATTTAACAGTGAGATTTTCCAATATTCCTCATCCGCGATAAAATGTGCAATTGTGTAGACGATCCCAACCTCTGCAGATACATAAAGCTTTGATTTTGATCGCGCTGATTTTTTCCCCAGCACCAATTTTCATCTCCTCCATTAGATCTCACTCCCGTCTGTCTCTTCTATATCGTTCTGTATCAGATCAAAAAGGTACGTTCCTTTTCAGATCCCTTTCTCGAATTCCCAGTAATTGTTCATCAAATTGATTGGTGTATGTATATGTATATGTATCAACTTCCTGAATTAACTCCAAGCTCCTAACCCACCGAATCTTAATTGGGTGCTCATTCGATCTACAGTTGATTTCAGCGTTCGTCTTCTTTTACATCTTTTACTGTAACTTTGACCTAGCTTGTATTGATCTCAAGTGTTTGTGTGTATATAAGCACATGTATGTGTGTACTTACCTATATCTGTAGAGATAGGTACTAATATATGATGTGACTAAGCTGCAAAGTGACTATGCCTGTGTTAGATGACATTTCATTGACGATTTGGGGTTCTAATTTGTTTCCATATTCAGGTTGAATATGGGTCTGGCGCAAAACAATCTCGACAATGAAGAGGGACCGCTGGAGGTTGGCATGGGTAAGTTGTTATATATATATATATGTATATATATTTGCTTGTTTGATATATTTGTGGACAACTCTTTTTTACGATGAAAGATTGTGTATATAAAATTTAATTCAGCTTAGGCACCACTTGATGGCACTTTAGAAGTGGTATCTTGTTTTGAGAGCGAGTTGTTCTGAATTTTTCAGTAAAGGGCAGCATAAATATTTCAAAAGTCTAAGCGAAGTGTACATTAGAGATCTTGAATTTGATATTGTAGGAAACATGGGTTCCAAATTAAGTTTGTAGTTTAATCTAATACAAGGAAAAAGTAATTGAGGATGATGTTGCTATTGGTGATGAGGATTGAAAGAGGAACTCGAGATTTGAGGCACCCTTCAAGACTGTAATTCTTGGTTTTCCTCAAATTTGCAATTAAATATTTCCTTGCTTTGGTATAGCGTTTTTGTTATACAAAATGTTAGGATGTGGAACTTCAGATACTTTGTAATCACCTCTGTAAGCATAACACCTCCACCATCAACTGAACTACTGCCACAATCATATTCCCCACCTCAACCTCTGCCTTCATTGCCATTACCACAATCATTGCCAAACCCACCATCTCCATCATCATCACTATTAAAGTAGTGATTAAGGGGCACAAGAAGAGGAGGGCCCAGAATATTGTGATGAATTAGTTGGTTGAGTAGTTGCTGCAGTGTCATCACCGTCTCATCATCTGAGAGACAGCCAAATAGGTCCTCTCCATCAAGCAAATGTTGTTCACTTGTTCCCTCTCTTCTAACCAAGGGGTGAGCGGATCATCATGCTTGAAGATGTAATCCAAGTTGGTGGGGTTGAAACTTCCTTGCTATGTGCCTGAGATGTAGCTTCATATTGTGGTGACTGCCGAACCTTGTCATGCTTTAATTTGTTCTGTGCTTTGGGGTGTATGAGAGAAAATGAGCTCCAATTGCTCTTCCAGTTAAACAAACTGGTTATTATCTCAAAACTTTGACCTTAAGTTCTTGTAACTTGGGAGTATTATTCCCATATAAAATCCACAATTCAGTTGCACAGGCACAAACAATTGAAGTAATTAGCCAATATACTATGTGGATTGAAAGTTGAAAAGATCATAAAATGAACTAATTAATTTAGTAGGGAAAGATTGATGAGTGACCCTTTGTGCCAATGAGGTGCCAAAAGATTCTTGTTTTTGCCGATGTAACATGCCAATGTGCCAAGTGTCAAGTTGTAATTTATAAGTTGTTTTTAAGTTATAGTATAGCTACTGCAGTCAAATAATAATTTTTTTTTTCCTCAGTCAAATAATTATTTGATTCACTGTGATTCGTCCATTTAAGTGAGTTAAGTATAACTACTATAGTCAATTACTTACTTGAGTCATTGCATTTAACCATTTTAAAATGCAATCTACTAGTAACATTTGTCACCCCTTTAATTACTTCTCTAACAGTCTCCTAAGGGGGACTGGGACCATACAAGAATTGTGGATTTAATAATAACCTGGAAACATTACAATTCATTGTTAAATGATAAATTCATAAATGGTTAAAAAAATACAAATAACTGGACACCAACATTTAAGTTAATAACTGGACAAATAAATAAGAAATGAATTACATAACTGCTCTGTTCAAATCATGATACAATTGAAAGCCCCACCATTACGATCTTCCAATGGTTGGTATAATACCTGCAGTCTCTCTAGATTGCCACTTGGCATGATCACGATCTATAGCCTTAATATAGTCCATAGGGCCAAATTACCCTTTCAGGTATGCTATTTGCTCCTTTAAATGTGTGATGCCATCCTTGACTTGTTTACCCCCAAAATTACAATGGACCTTGTGACTATCCCCATCAACCGGCATACCAAATCTCCATCTGATGCCATCACTAGGGCCACCAGTACTTCTACCAATAGGTCCATTATTACCACCCTCACATCTTTTTTAATTATTGCAAGGAAATTGAGTAAAGAATTACATATTTTAATCAAACATGTAATCTATTCCGTCATTTGTTAAAAATATTATTAACAATAACACAATGTAGAGTAATTGAGTAATATATGTGTAGCATAACAAATTTATTCGGCAGTTAATTTTCTGATTTTTAACTCAATTTTTCAATATAAAGACACTAGGAATGTGACAGACGTAGTTTATGGAATTGATTTACAATGAAATAAAATAATGCACATTGAATAAAAGAAAAAATGATAATACTTCTAAAACAATATCCAGGCATTTTTTTTTTTTCTTTGATAGGTAATAACTCATTAAAGGCACTCAAAAGGGGAGTGCTCCCAAGGGAAAAACAAGCCGCCTACAGCGACACTACAACTTTAAGCTATCCACGAAATCCGAAAGACTATCTATAGATTTATAATTTTGCCCATCAACCCAAAAGAATTAAGAAGACAGTATGTTGTATTTAAGAGACCAAATAGGAGACTCCTCCCCATTAAAGGATCTCCTTTTTCTCTCACACCACATGGCCCATCAAAGACAAAGGCAGCCAATTTTTTTTTTTTTTGGAATTTAAATGATTTACATCATTCCTCACGTGACTTCTTCCTTTTTTCTTGAAGTACAAAGATCTGTGTGCAACTGTAGGAACTGACAGCTTTTTGATAGAATTGTAGCCTCCACTTTAGAGGTAATCCTCTTGTTAAACTGATAGGGGATCTGCCATATCTATAGGAACCCATAGTGTATGATAAGATTGAACGTCTTTTCTGATTGAAAATTGTGCCATCTGATAAATTGATAGCTCCTATCAATTCATTAGCTTAATTTCTTTACCCCCAATCTTTATGAGCTTTATCATAATATATATGCTCACATGTGTATATATATGTACATGCATATATATTATATCTAAATACTATAATTTTTATCCTAAGGGATCAAATGAGAAAATGACATGTGTCATGAGGGAGTTTACCACATCTCTCTTGGTAAATATTATATTTATTCTTTTCGGGATGTGCTCCCCCCTTTGAGTACTCTTTTAGTGACATTTACTTATCAAAAAAAGAAGAAGCTTTTCATGATTTATTTTAACCATCATGTAGGAATTGGTTTTACATTTCACTGGAAGCACATCGATTTTTTTCACTAGGTTTTTGTTGGACATCTATTTGGGCGTCCCTACAGGGTCATCTTGACTTTAACTCTCTCCTTTTATGCTGCAGCCCCTGTAATTATGATGGGCTGGATAACGTAGTTGGCTAAATAATAGTTCAAGGAAAATCCTATTTAGTGGGCATGCATGAGTTGCCCAACAGAATGTTTATTGATTCTATAACCATTTGATTTTTAATCCAATGTGGTAAAACCGTAACAAAACTGTTGCCAATGGATATATAATTTAAACTTGGAGCTTTACTCAAAATTTTGGTTCATGGTAAAGTTGAGCATGATTTTGATCTGGACTTTAACTCCTTTATATTTTTGCAGAGTATAGAACTGTCTCTGGGGTAGCTGGACCACTGGTCATCCTTGAAAAAGTTAAGGTAGATATTGTGCTCTACGCCCCTCATTATTTTTTACGATTTCTCTGTCACACACACATATGCATATATTTAATTTCAGAATGTAAAGATACATGCATTTTTCCGTTTAATTATGTCAGGGACCCAAGTATCAAGAGATTGTCAATATCCGTTTAGGAGATGGAACAACACGACGTGGTCAAGTCCTAGAAGTTGATGGGGAGAAAGCTGTTGTTCAGGTAATTACTGTTTGGCAATCCCCATATGGTTCTGTATGTTTTGAGTGGGTTCATAATTTTTTATGACTTGAAGATTGATTTTTCAATCAATTTACTCAAGCAGATGATTGTTTCTGCCTTCTTCTCCCCCCTTCCCCCCAATTCACAGATTTTGTTATCTTCTTTCAGTGAAGTGATTTTCTAGTAGTGCTATAGTGTGCAGTAATGTCCTGTACTTGTACCTCTTAATTTGACTACTACTGCTTAGGGTTATAAGTTTCAAAACTGCTAAATGTTTTCTGGCTCCATGCTTTGCTTAAGCTGTCCATATTTTATGATGATGTTGATCTAATATTATTTAAGTTGTTAACAAGTGGTAGTTTCCATTATATAATCTCTTCAATCTTCTTTAGGTTCTCATTCTCATATATGCTTTGGGGAAATGTCATTTCTGATGCATCATCTAAATTAACAAATCTAGCTATTCTTCATAAAACTTCCACTGCATGTACTTACCTATCCAGTAAGGTAGTTTCCGATGTGGCTTTTGTTTGAATTCAAATGCCCCTTGGTGGAAGCTTCCACTGTTTGACTAGAATGACATACGGTTATATGGTGATAAGTGTATCTTGGATGTTATGTGGGCCTTGATTATGGTGTTTTTAGTTTAGCTTTCTGCCTTAAAGATTTTTTTTCCTAGACCTTTGGTTGATTGAACATGTTATGAAAACCTCCTGCTCTTGTGTTGGATATCCCTTTACTGGTAGAATTTTGAAATTTGAGTGCCTTCAGTGACTGTATACTTTTTTATTTCAATTTTTTATATCTACATATGTTGGTGACCAGGTTTTTGAAGGAACATCTGGAATTGACAACAAATACACAACAGTGCAGTTTACAGGAGAGGTACATAATCATTCTCAATTGTTCATATTATTCTCCGAAAAATCCAAAGTAGCCTATATTCTGTCATAGAATTCTTCATGCAAATATTCAAAGAACATTGTTTGGAAGATTGATTTTTTTATTTTATTTTATTTTATTTTTATATATTATGTCTTCCCCCCACACCACTTTTTCCAAAGAAAAATAAAAAGAATAAGCGAACATATTCATCTTTTAAGTGAAGTGGTAACCAGATTTATTAGAAATGATGGTCTGCTGAGTCAATTATTGTGAATTGAAATATTCAGCATATCAGCCTTAGCAACCACTTCTTCTATTTGTTGTATTTGTAGGCGTATTTATTAAAGATTGTATGCCAAACAAACCATCTATGCATATTTTGGTGAACATTGGAATTATAAATTTAGCCACTGTTGGTTTGCCCCAGCTGAGATCATTACTATTTATCCCTTGATAGGATTTGGTTGATGGACTTGTACGGTCCAAGTTTGCAAATCACTACTTGGTGGTGTCTAATATGTGCATAAAATTTAGAATATGGATTTTCCTTTATAGTGACTAAATTACAGGTCAAAACAAATTATATACTGCAATTATACATGGTATATAATCCTCGATGTCTAAGAAGCAAGAAGTGGGATTTTGAATGGCACACGAAGTATTTAGATGTTCTTCAGCATTAATATATTGAAGGGGTAATATGTTTTGTCCTATGTAATTGATTGCTAATTTTAAGTTCATCCTAATACACCATCAGGCCCTGCATGATTTCCATAAAAAATTTAAAATTGCTTCTTTGAGCTCCCTTTGCAAGGGATATCTTTACCCAGCTTCTGCACATACCTGCAAATCTTTCATACCATGTTTCAATTGATCAATTGTGCTCACAAATAGATTACACTTGGTAGTTCTATTTTACAGAAAATTTCTGATAAGCAGCACTTGGTTTTAAATTGAATTGTAAATTGTAGATGGAAATCAGAATCTGTTTTCTGATCCATGGTTTTATTGTGATAGTTGAGCCATTTTGCCTGTCCTTGAGGATCAGTCTGTGCTCACTTTTATATGATGCTATCTTTGAATCTTCATATATCTATCTATCTATATATATATATTTTATATTGCCCCTAAAGCATTTTTTGTTCCTTTTTTAAAGAAAGTTACAACTCAACTGCAGGTCTTGAAAACTCCTGTCTCATTGGATATGCTTGGACGCATATTTAATGGTTCTGGGAAACCCATAGACAATGGTCCTCCTATTTTGCCTGAGGCTTATTTGGATATTTCTGGTAAGTGGTATTGGTCGCCAATGACATCTAAATGATGCAATAGTTATCTACAATGTTTAAATGTGATTTTAATCAGTTACTTGTCTACTTCAGGGAGTTCTATCAACCCTAGCGAGAGAACCTATCCTGAAGAAATGATACAGACAGGGATTTCAACAATCGATGTGATGAATTCAATAGCTAGAGGACAGAAAATTCCTCTATTTTCTGCTGCTGGTCTTCCCCATAATGAAATAGCAGCACAAATATGTCGTCAGGCTGGTTTGGTAAAGCGGTTGGAGAAAACTGAAAATCTACTTGAGGTATGGTTGGCAAATGGTATTTTGCATTTAGTAATGTTTAAACACAATATTCTTAATGTGAATAATAACCAAGAACAAAAATTCATAATTACTTCTGCGCTGTGTGCTGTTCCATTACTTTCGTACTAATGAATACCTAAATCTGATGACGATTTGTTTCATTTTACCTACTAAATGTGGGTCAAAATTTTATGTAGGGTCCACTAACCAGTGTTCATCCCATTAATCAAGGGTGTTGGGAGAAACAGAATGTGCAAACTTAAGTTTGGCATGATTCCTCATTGAGGGTAATGCTAGGGGAAGGGGAAGACCAAAGTTAATGTGGGTAGAGTTAGCATGGAAGGATATGATGACATGTGGTTTGACTTAGGCTTTGCCTTAGATAGAGCAAAATGGAAAAATAGGATTCATGTATCCAATCTCAAGTAGTTGAGAAAAAGGCTTTATTGAGTTGAGTATCTTAATTATTTGGAATCAATAAGAATGTCCATCTTTTATATTGTACTTCTTGATAGTGAATAGTAAAGCTGCAACCTCTGAGTGAGGTAAATGTTCTGTAATGGATTGTGGTTCAACTAGTGTGAGTGAGGTTCTATATGATGTCTTTGGTTTCCATCAATTTATTACCTCCTTTTCTCTTTTGTATCTATGAGGGAGTTATTAGCAAGGCAGTCCTTTCCTCCTGTCTTTTATTTTATATACTTGATTTTTGTTGTTAATGTTTGAATTTTTGAAAGATGATTCCTGTTACCTAAATCATAATTTCACAGGATAAAGAGGAGGACAATTTTGCCATTGTTTTTGCAGCTATGGGTGTCAACATGGAGACAGCACAGTTTTTCAAACGTGATTTTGAGGAGAATGGATCAATGGAAAGAGTGACCCTTTTCCTAAACTTGGTAATTTGTTATGAATTAACTCGTGAACCTTTTGCTTCCATCAACTGATTTTGGCTCCTGCCATAACGGAAATTTGATGCTATAATTTTGGGTGGAAATGCTGAAATTTGAAAATTTGGTCCTTATATACTTTTTTTACAGGCCAACGACCCTACAATTGAGCGTATTATTACTCCTAGGATTGCTCTGACGACTGCGGAATATCTGGCATATGAATGTGGGAAGCACGTACTTGTCATATTGACAGATATGAGTTCCTATGCAGACGCTCTTCGTGAGGTAATCATGCATGAGTATACTGTTTTTTTGGATAGGTAAGCAACACACACACACACACCACATGCATGAGTATACTTTGGACTGTCTCTGGTGTACCTTAATCAGTCAATTGCATGTGCCAAAGTAATAAATTGAATTAAGTCAACTTTACTGTATTTTCTTTTTTTATTGTCTGGTGGTGGAATTCCAAGAAATTTCAGAAATATGTAGAACTTCCAACAGTTGTAGTTGAAATATGGTGTGTTTGCAACTATCCCTGTTGAGTTAATCATAATAGTTTTTAATTATTTTTAGAGACTATTGGAGTGACACAAACTACTAATTGCAACTGCAGGTATCTGCTGCTCGAGAGGAAGTGCCAGGAAGACGTGGATATCCTGGTTATATGTATACTGATCTTGCAACAATCTATGAGCGTGCTGGACGAATTGAAGGACGAAAAGGCTCCATCACACAAATTCCAATTTTAACTATGCCAAATGATGGTAATACACCATTTATCTAATCACATTAGCTGTCAAGTATATTATTATATCTTGCTTTAGTAACTTTAGTCTTTCTGAGCTTTATTGTGTTAATGATTAGATATCACACATCCGACTCCGGATCTTACGGGTTATATCACTGAAGGGCAGATCTATATTGACAGACAGCTCCAAAATCGACAGGTAAGGTCTTGAAGTCAGCCACCAGGTTTACTTCGGAATCATTTTAGTATTTTGGTTGTTGGAATTGTAATTTCAAATCAAACCAGTGTGTCAAGTTCATGATGTTTACTTCTAGCCTCACCAAGTGCCATGAACATATTGGATAATGATATGTAATGCTTAATAATAGAGTGCCTAATTTATTTTTTTGCCTCGGAAATTTCCTTATTGGCACGTTATAAACAGAAAATTTCAATCTACATGCACAGAAGTTTGCTGGTAGCTTCCAAATAAAGTAATTATACCACCATTGTCTCTATACAGCTCTGGTTAATTTCCAGAACTGTAATTTTTTGCTTGGTTCATGAAGATGTACTCGGTGCAAAACAATTCAGCTCCATTGCTTGCTTAAGTTTGGCTGATTACCAAATAGGTCAATAAATAATGTAGTATGTATGAGAGTTAGTATTGAGATGTTTCACTTACAAATCGTAGTATGTACCTAGGAGATTCAGGAAGGTGGGTGTTTGATCCTTACAGATGGCCACATATTAACTTCAGAAATGATAGATTGATTATGGGTGGCGTATAAATTTTGGTGCAACTAAAAATTTTTCTTCTGTTTGAATTGAACAGATATACCCGCCAATCAATGTGCTTCCGTCATTGTCTCGTTTAATGAAGGTAAGCATAGAACTGTGCTTAATTTGGTCCAAGGTTGTAAAATTGCGTCATTTTTTTGGGTTTTAGCGGGTATGCTGTTGACTTATTATTTAACTGAGAGAAAAACTGTAGTATAGAGGGCTTATATTAAATTGTATTATTGTAATTTTGCAGAGTGCCATTGGTGAGGGGATGACTCGGAAGGATCATGCTGATGTGTCCAACCAGGTCTGTTTGTTTAGCTCAAGTATTATAAAATTAGTTCACTGATATAAGCGCTTTGACCACCTCTTTTTCGTTCATGATTTATCTTATTTTTCCCTTTCAGTTGTATGCAAATTATGCAATTGGGAAGGATGTCCAGGCAATGAAAGCTGTGGTTGGAGAAGAAGCACTTTCTTCTGAAGACCTGGTCTCTTTCTTCTCGTAATTTTGTTGCAATTTTTATCATAGTTAAGACTAATTCTGATTGCACTAACACTCAATTCCTCTTGAACGAAACAGCTGTATTTGGAGTTCCTAGACAAATTCGAGAGGAAATTCGTTGCCCAAGGAGCCTATGATACCCGCAACATCTTCCAGTCACTCGATTTAGCATGGACACTGCTTCGGATCTTCCCTCGTGAGCTTCTCCACCGTATACCAGCAAAGACCCTTGATGAATTCTATAGTCGAGATGCAGCTCATTGAAGGAGGAAACAAGCTCATACACCCAGTTCTCCGCTTATCTCTCTCCTTGGTTTGAACTCTGCCATGTGATTTTCACCTCGTTTATCCTGCTTAGGCTGCGTATCTCCTCTATCCGGCCCAGAAAATAAAGGTTGTGTTCATTGAGTCCTCCGATTTTAAAATCTCTGTCTAGTTAAAAGAAGCCAATATTCTTGCAACAAGGACTAGTTAGATTATAAGTTTGTGTTTACCCTGTTGTGCGGGATGAGTTCGGCTTTTACTGTTTGAGTTTCAAGAACACACAGGTGTTTATAAATTATAAAGGTCCATCTCATAGAAGATGCTTCTTTAATTATCTTATTTATCTACTAATTTGTTTTCCCCTCTTTTGTGGAATACTTATTATTGTTGTTATTGAGAGAAGGTGTGTCAATGCCGTCTGCTTCTGTATTTTTTCATTTTGAAGATGCTCTAAAATCTGTATTTCCGTTGTGGTTTCAACTGTGCTATAATGATTAAGATGGAATGATATATATATATCTTCTGTCCCAAAATATGTCCTGCGTGAGGAATCTAAGTTGTTATGGTAGTGGAGTTTTTATAGTTTTTTATTGTATTGATAAGAGTAAAATTTCAAATATACCCTTACTAAAAGACAAAATAGTGTTTCGTAATTAGTAATTAGTGTATTTGTATGATAGTTTGGAAATATTATAAAAAATAGTTAAAAGGGTAGTTTAGTAATGTTATAAAAAATAATACATTTAATTTTGAAATGAGACATCTCAAAATGAAAAGATGAACCGGTATTTTGGGACGGAGAAAGTATATTTGTAAATTGAATCACAATTTTTAATGGGAGATTTCAAATTATCTTAGATTTTTTATTACCTCCTGAATGTCTATCGCCCTCATTTATGGAGGTCTGTTGCCCTCTTTTCAGGTTTGAAATCTGAAACCGACCTCATTTATGGATACCTCCATTTCATCATGATAAAAACCTTGGTTTATTAGTCCAGAATATGAGTTTTAGTTTGAGAAAGAAAATAAACTTCATTTATTATTATTTTTTTTCATCCACAGTTCACATACTCACTTGTTCCTTTAGAATTTGAAGTTCCACCTTTCACTTAGGGGACTTGGGGGAGGTAGATAAGATATTATTAGATCACAGGACGAAAGAGAGGTAGATCACTAGATCACGCTCGATACCTACATAAAAAGTTTCAAAAAAATAAAATACACACAAACAAAATAAAAATTTACGGGGTTTGATTATGCTCACTAGAGATACCTTCATAAAAAATTTCAAAAAAATAAAATACACACAAACAAAATAAAAATTTACGGGGTTTGATAATGCGTCCACGCTATTTATAATCAAACAAATACTTGGTGCCTAAGTATAAAAGGAGGTTGAATGATCACGCCAATTAATTAAATTTGTTTCCTTACAATAATACATCTATATTATATAGCTATATGAGCCGTCAAAGGAAACTAAAGATAGTAGTTTCCATTGTTCACAAGATATAAATATATATATATATATATAGAGTACGTTGAACCAATCAACGGCCAGCACAAATTTCATGGTAGGCTGGCAAACTTCAATATGGATATCAAGACTTGTGCTCCACGAATAACTCAGCTGGTGTAAATTGGGAGCCAAAATTTGAGCCATTGATTATGATGTGAATGCCAAGTTATCTAAATCTAAAAAATTATTTATTTATTTATTTTATTTTTTGGAAAGCTTTAAGCCGAGTGGAGCTCAAACTCCCAATATAGAGAGACAGATTATGTCATTGGGAGCAATAACAAGTGGTAACAAGAGATATAACAACCCCAATTGGATCAACTATGGGCCGCTCAATATAATTTGAGATTTTAAAAATATATATAAATGGAGCCCCTTAATATATAATATATATATATAAAAAATAATAGTTAATAATGTTTATTTAATAATTAGATTCTAACTTTTTGAGAAACAAAAATATTAATTAGATTCTTATATTCAAATTTTGTTAAAAGTATTTTTTTAAGTTAAAATTTGAAAACACCCTCTTGTTTATCGAAATTATTTACTAATTTCTTGAAGTATTAAAAAATCTCGTGATATAACATAAACTATCATATTGTCCCATTCTGTCATAGAATCGTTAAGTTCATGCAAAACGACAAGAATGCACTTGATATTATGTTAATATTAATATATATTTTTTATTTTATTATTTTATTTTGATAAGTAAATATTAATATATTAATATAAGATAAGATTCGGGGCTGTAGAAAACGACGGCGTCCGGAATGTAACGTACAATTGATGAAGTGTCCGGTCACTGTCTGCGACGAACACAAATTAAGACGACAGCGTAGTTAACCCAGCTCGATTGGAGGTCTGGCGGCAAAGAGAATTCTGCTGACTTGCGGCATAATAATAAATAATAATAATAAATCTTCAAATAAAAATGGGTTCCGAATATTCAGATGGAGTGAGATTGTGAGATCATGACGAGCCGTGAAAAGAAGTAAGGAGAGAGGAGGAAAAGTATGTGAGAAATAAGGAAGAAAAAAAATAAAAAAATAATAGGAAAAGTGGGAAGTTTTACCACTTCCCTTCAAATAATTACTGCCGGTGTTAAGAAACTAAAAAACATGGAATCACGAGAAGAGAGAGTGGGACAAAAAGTAGAGATGAGTATAGAAATTTTTTTAGATTACCATTAAATCTGTGTTTGAAGGAAATAAAATTTTTAAGAGCGTTATAATATATGAAAATATATACTTATATTTTTTTCTCTAAGTAAATTTAAGAAGGTTATAATATATAAAATAAATTTTTTGGGGTCTTTCTATTGGCGATGAGATCAGCTACTTTCGCAGGTCATAGACGTGTCAACTTAAGGGTATTCTACTGAAAAGGTCAAGCCGAACACAACTCATTTAATAATCATGTCAGAAATCCTCAACACTAACCAAACGTTTATTAAACGGTTACACGTGTCAACATATTTAATGACCTATTTACTAAAATCCATACATTATATTATTTAGATTATTTATAACACTTAATCAAACAATAAATACTACAAAAAAGATACATTAGCTAAGGAGCTAATGTATATTTTTATTAAAGTTTATGTTAAAATGACTTAATTGGGTATACTAATTGGGTCTAAACTGGTAATGAGTTACACGAGTTACATTAATACGATTATAATTTTTTTTTTCTTTAAACGGGAATAAATGGATTACATGTATTAAACATCTCAACCTTAACACGACACGATTAATTAAATGGGTTAATCGTGTCGATTCATTTATGACTCAAACTCAATTAAGGAAAACTCAAATCCGTTAATATCATGTTGTGTTCTAGTTGCATTGGTGAATCGTGTTAAATTTTGACCTTAATGCTTGTGATCTTTGGCTAAATGTGACGACCCTAGTTTTTAGGCCAGTGTATTTTGTGATGAACCGAAGATTGACCCAATAACGGATTCGATATACGGAAGAAAAAATAGAAAACAAGACTCTAAGAAGTCAAAGTGACCTTCCATGAGGTCGTGGAACTCAATGAGAATTGATGCGGAAACAAAATGTCAAAAATATGACAAACAAGCCCCTAGGGCAAAATAGTCATTTCTGAAAATATAAAATCGGGTGCTACCAAGCACACCACTGGAAAGACAGAGAAAAATTAACAAATCTAGACTTAAGAATCACTTGATTCAGAGTTCGGATGAAGAAGATATGAAACGCCAAAGTTTCATAAAAATCAACTTTCAGGTTTCAAAACAGTGCGGCAAGGGTAATTGATAAGGGGTAAAATGGTCTTTTTAAGGAATTGAATGTAACTGTACATACCGTTGGATAGACAAGCAAAATTTAATAAACTTAGACTCAAAAATCACTTGATTTGGAGTCCGGATGATAAAGATATGAAGCCTCAAAGTTTCAAAAAAATCAACTTGTTTTTCGGGTAAGAAATATGGGTAGAAATAGTGTTTTTACAGCAAACAACATTTGATTTTTTTTCTCGGAACTGAGGCTAAAAACGGACCCTTAAACGAGTTTTTCTGAAAAAACACGAAGAAGAAACCCCCCTTAAAATCACATTTTCTGCCTGGCATAATGGAAGGAATGGAGAAAAACACGCTGTAAGATCCCTAAAATGCCCCTAGATCAGCCTAGGTCAAGAGGGACCCAAAAAGCTGCTACATGAAATTTCTTCAGGATCAGTCCACAACTGAGAGCAAAAACGGGCTATCAAATGAATTTTTTTGGAAAAACACAAAAAAGAAACCCCTCCCGAAATCGAGTTTTCTATGTGACTAGCAAGAAAAATAAAAAAAAACTCAATGTAAAATGCCCAAAATGCCCCTCCATGAAATCTGGTCATGAGGGTCATAAAGCTGCTAAATGTAAAACTGGAAGCTAAACTTTGCAATGGATTTCTGGAATCAAGACGACATTTTCTGGAAAAACACGAAGAAGAAACCCCCCCTAAAATCACATTTTCTAAGTGACCATGTTAAAACAAGAAAATAAAACTGATGTGAAAAGTCTAGAAAGCCCCTAGATCAAGTCTAGAAAGCCCCTAGATCAAATTATGCAACAAAGTTTCAAAATGAGTCCATAGGAGGCTCATTTCACCAAAGAAGAAGGTTTGCCCGGAAACAACCATGCACACAAACGTAACTTACCTATTAGGATGTACTACAATGGTCCATGGCTTAAAAATACCACCGATGCAAAATCCGACCCCCCAACGGGCAAAAAGGCAAAAATGAACAAGAAAAGGGAAATTTGAAAACCAAAATTAACAAATGATTTCAAATTACCGTTTGGCCCTTGACCACACTTCAAACATGATTTAAAAGATCCTATGAAAGAATAAAAATGGAATTCCCACACCCGATGCAACCATGGTGAGACAATGACTTGGCATTTTTCAATGTTTTCATAATATTTCGTGAAGTTAAAACATACATAGAATTCAATATACATGTCAATGGCCTCCGGACTCATCTCATACATATCAAATACATTGTAAAGAGTGTACTTAGGTACACATTACATACATGGGATCAAAAGATACAAGCTTTGTCAAAAGAAACAAAAGCAAACATGATATGCTAACATGTGCATATTCAATGTCATCAAAAATACTTTAAGACTTCTAGCATGTCTAAAAGTGTTGTGTATCCCACAACAAAGCTTCTTTACCTGCAAAACACCCAGTAACTTTGGGGTGAATAAACAAGACTAACAAGTTTATTCGTAGGGGATGAGCATGCATCGACTCAAAGTAAACGGTTTCAAAATGAGTCCATAGGCCCTCAAATTTCCATTTTTCCCGAAAA